TGGGTTTATAAAGTAAAACCTAAAAGATGAAAGTGAGTACTTTTGCTGCAGTGACCACTGCAACTCTAATATATTACATCTGATTTCCAATAAAGACAAAGTTCATGAACAAGGTTAGAAAACAACCGAGAAGAAGAAGCGTACTCCTCACAAAACTGAAAATCAAGCATTCACAAAAAAGCACGAAAAGATGATGAATACAAGCGGCACATTCTTAGGTCAGGTGAAATGAAAATAAATGTGTTTGGATCAGACGGGGATCATATCTGACTGTAGTGCTGACAACATTTAAACATGGAGGTGGGAATGTGCTGATATGGGAGAAGTTTGTAAGACAAATGATAAAAGAAGGTTGACTCTCAGTCTCTAAACCTTGAAAGAAACACTTCAGGCTTATTAAATTTGTAAATCAACACCAGAAATCTTCATATGCTTTCAATAAATGTCCCCATGTGGAAATAAAGCAGGTGCACTTAAGTAATCCTATAGTTTTGTTCATCTTACAGGACCGACACATACATGAAGATCAGGTCAAGTTCTAATACTCAGGTGTGTGATTGTCCATGATGCCACAGAGGAAAGTAAAATAATAAATACATAATCTACAAGCACGAGTCCTGAAATGCTGCTGCTGCCTCTCTGTATAGAAGTAATTTCAGTCAGAAACACTAACTTCAATAGGACTTAATAAGAAAATCCAGAGTAACATCACTTTGTTCATGTCATAACGCAATTTCCTTTCAAGTTGATGCCACAGATTGCACGAATCCGACCTGCATGTCAGCTCTGAAAGGTTTTGCCGAACACTGTGGCAGGAAAAACACAATTTCAATACAGCTCATTCAGAAAACATGGCCTTCAATCATTTGTGAAGCATCATTCTGTGGTTTGGTGATGCCTAACTATTTCAGATTTGCCTCAGGCCTTGACCAACAGGCCTACGGCAACAGTGTGCCAAATTTATTGCTCCAGGAGAAGATTTTTTTTTCTTTCCTTTAACTGATTAATTGACATATTTTCCAAGTTTAGCAGTCATATCCAGTCCTTCATTTTGTTTTGACACATGCAGACATGGGCTGCAGCTTGTACCACACCTTTCAACAGAAACAACATGGAAAACCACACGACTGCTGCAGAACTGACTCATATGAACAGAGTGTCTGTTTTACTGTGATATAAAAGTCCTCAACCGAGAGATAACTAATGCATCAAACGCACACACTAATGCAGTAATGCCAGGGAGGCAGGGGGAGCTGAAAAGATGTTTCATATTAGCAGTTGAATCTGTTTTGCAGCCATAAGAACCTACAATCACACTGAATGTGTGAGGAGAAGTCCTGATTTTCAAAGCATCTTTCATAACTAGCGACTCTAGCTCCAGCTGTGGAGGCCACTCAGGCAGCACCATGTTTAAATCAGGAGTATGAGAGACAATGATGCACTGGACCAAGTCAATTTATTTATATACAGCTTTGTAAAGGTCGCCCCCCCCATCAGAAGTTTTCTTTTCACTTCCCTTT